ACCATACAAAAACTTAAAAGTTAAATAATGAGATGTAATTGAAAGATAGTGGGTCTGCTTATGGTACCTCACCTTAAAGGAAAGTTAACAGTCATGGCCAAAAGTTTGCTACTTCAGTTTTTATTCAAACTATTGTTTTTTTACATGTTTCTAAGTTAGAGTGAAGAACAATCATAAGCATTTTATAATGGCAAATAAATCAAATTTATGCAAAGAGTTCATCTTTACATCTGCAGTTCTCTGGATATCAGCTTATGGACCAAATCCTCATTGATGGCGATCCATTCCTGCTTTATTGGTGCTCCCAAGCTGATCACAACTAGTGGGATTGTGGTCTTTAACCTGCTTTTTAAGGGTGGATTTTCAGGGCTTTTTTGGGATAGTTCTTAAAAAGCCCACAAATTGTGATCAAGATGGAGTGCAGAAAAGGTAGGAATGGATCACCATCAATCATTATGTCCCAGAAGATGATATCCAGTAACCCACAGAAAACTGCAGAAGTAATGAAGAAGTACCTCAACACTGTAAATACTGACTCCATCCATCCATTTTCTTCCACTTACTCAAATCAGGGTTTGGGGCTGGAGGCTATCCTAGCTGTCATCGGGCAAGTGGTGGAGTAAACTCTGAATAGGTTGCCAGTCTGTTGCAGGGTAATACACATAGAGACAGACAGCCATTCATGCTCACATTCACACCTACGAGCATTTTAGAATCACCATTTAACCCAACTCCATGCATGTTTTGGGGCTATAGGAGGAAGCTCCACACAGAAAGGCCTCAGACTGGATTTGAAACCAGGACCTTTTTGCCCTAAATAAAAGCTTTTTGCATAACTTTGCTTCATTTGCCAATAAAACTCTTATGAAATGCATAATAATGTAAGAAAATCATCTAAAAACTGAAGCAGCTGTTCAAGTTCAAGTTCAAATTTTATTTGCCACATGCAGTGGCAGGTTGTCCTGCAGTGGAATTGACATGAGTGTACTCTATGTTCTCTAGAATTGCATAGGAGGCTATAGGAAGAGAGTCCCTGCAGTATAGTCAGTTTAATCAGATTAGACTGTGGTGTTTCTATGTACTTTATCATTTTTATCCAAACTTTGCTTCTAACGTGACTGACAGGCCCACTGGATTAGTAAAAATGGCATTTGTTCCACCAAACACTGTTTTTGTCATTTCTTTGTGTTTAAAACAAAGTGTAGTTTCATTTCTTTTGCCCCTTATATGAGATGAACCACACTCGTGTTGAACTGCAGCTGCATTGTGATGTTTCTCTTCTCAGGGGCGTTCCAGGCCTTTGATAAGGATGGAGACGGTACCATCAGACTCAGTGTCCTGGAGGTACGAATCTTTGATTATAAAACACAGATTTAGATATATTTATTGAAAAGGTCAGCACTGGTAGCTCTGTAATCCAATGAACCTCTTCCTTGTGTCCATCTTTAGTGGCTCCAGCTGACCATGTACGCCTAGAAAGCCCAACCATCTCCCAGGTGAGCTCCACTCCATGCGAGGACCAGACCTGCCAGCCTTTACCTCAAAACTCAGTGTGCCTGACTACCGTTAGCCTTCATGCACCTCACCTCCAGCTCTGCTCCTTCTACTCCAAAATGTCCTTTCATTTGATCTTTCCATTTTTCTCAGCAGGTCTCAGGCCTTTTGCATTTCCTTCTCTGCCTTTGTCCTCCCACCTCTTTCTCTCATCAAAATATCAGTCTCAGTCATAAGCTCTGTTCTGATTTTTTTTTTTAAAATACATACTTACCATTAACATTTGTACCATCTCAGGCAGCAAACACATACGACCTCTTTTATTCTGTCATAATACCTCACAGAGCCTCACCCAGCAAACCCACCTCTGTACCATTCATATCCCCTGCTAACATCTCCTCCTTCAGCCTCCCTGTGTTTTCTTCTCCTTTTATCAAACTGAGCAGCAAGGCCTTTCTTCCTGTATTCATTCCAGTGAACTGGGCTCTCTGGTGGACAGTGAATAAAAACTGTGATTTACTCTCTAGCCTGTTATTAACTAAGAATCTGTACAAATAGGGCCTAACAAGGATTGAAAATATCACTGTTTCCTCATTAAGTTTTTGTTTTATTTGCTGATTTTTTTTGTAAGCAATGAATCCACCTGATCGATCGACCTGGACTCAATCACATATAATCCCACCCATCAGTAAAAAACATATATATATTGTTTTCTGGTGGACAAACTCAGGCTTCTTGTGTTTATCTCAGCTGAAAAACTGTCCAGTTCTCCAGTGCTATTTGTGGATGGATGAAAAACAAGAAGAAAACTGAGAAGCAATGGGTTTTTTCTTTCTTCCAAATTGGATTTTAAAGACTAAGGCTAATGGGTTGAACTGCAGCTTTGTTTTTTTGTGATTTTCCTCTTAAGGCTTTGGTCTAATGAGTGTACTGCATTTTTAACCACTTTAACCAAAAGAATAAATGTGTAGTTACTGATTTGACTGCGTTACCAGTAATTAAGTTGTGAAACTGTGACAAATATGCAAATTTCAGTAAACACTGAGTGAAATAAGAAGAAAACACCATAAAAATACAGCATTTTTTCTGATGTTGCAAACATTTTTATTAACTTTCTCTTTCTTAAAAAACATCTCATAACTTTGATAACAACAGAAAAACTTGAAGAAACTCAGGAATGCCAGGTAAGAGGTGACGCGCACGCTTTTCTCGATCATAAATAACGAGCGAGAACGTCAGGTTAACTCGGCTAAGGGCAAAACCTCAAAAAAAAGAAGAAAAAGAAAGAAAGATAACGCAACCCGGAGAGCTGCAACCTTCAAACCAAGTCTGCCAAAGAGAACAACAGCTGGGCTTTTAACAGAAGATTTAGTCACCTGTTTTCAAGAGGGTGAGGTATGGCATGGGAGATGAATCCAAAATCTTCTCTTCGAAATCTTCCATCGAACACCTCCTCTAAACATCCGTTGTCTCCACACTTTATTAGACAACTGTGGAAAACAAATACAGCTCCAGTGCCTTCTGCTCGATTCTCCAAATACAAAATAAATCCACAAGAATGTGACATAAAAACAGCACCTCACACTCACGCTTGGAAAACAAGGTTCGCCGAACAGGGTTAAACACTCTGCCGACAACAACGAGGAAATAATCCACACAGATTAGCACACATACTTCACATCTTGGTTCTGTTTTCACAGCAAATGTCAATTCTCAAAAGACAAATCCTTCAACACAGTCCCTATTACGCACTAATCACCTGACTGAGCAACAACAAATAAATAAATGTAATCCTAAACGACCCAACGAGATTGGAAGAACTTGAGATTTTTTATTTTTAGAAAATAAAAACCAAACATTAAATAAATCAATCTTCAATTAAATTCCCTCAAAACAAATAATCACACTGTTAAACGCAGCCTCAAAGACAACACCACGAATTTCCAAAACCTTTAAATCGCTCATTGTCATAAGTGGTAACTTTAATAAAATAAAAAAAAAACACACTACAGGTTGCTCAACGTGACACGCAACAACTGCACAACAACGATAAAAACATCTCTTAACCCATGCCATATTGTAGCCAACCAATCTGGAAGACGATAACTGCTTTTTGTTGGCGTTTCATCGGAAAAGCGTGGCAACTCCCTTAGACACCGGCTACGCTGAAGTTTCTTCAATAAACAAAAGTCACGTGTTTCTTTGTCTTTCTTTGGTCATTGACAAGAAGAAGCAATGGTCAGACGTAAAAAGGGGAAGGTGTGTTTTGTAGAAAGTTAAAAAAAAAACATAACAGCACAACCAACCCTCCTTTTTTGTAACTGTATTATGGTTGGATTCCAACACCGAGCATAAAGGATGGACTTGTCAGACGCCACTCGCCAGGCTCGACGAGAGCTCTGCTAAGGGTAAGTGGGTCCCAAGAGCGTGCCTCCCAATATGGGAGGGTAACATTAGAGTAAAGATTACAAGAAAGAAGAGAAGTCTCAGGGAGAAACGGCGTTCCCACCAGAAGCTTTAAGGCTCCACTTCAGTCTCCTCCTCAGCATGTTTCTGCATGTGCATCAGCATTCCCTGCAACACACAAAGTCACAGCCTCTAAATCAGCTACTAAAACTTGTATGTACTCAACCAAAGCATATGTAAGCGTTTATATAATAGGAGGTTATATTACAATGCATATTTACACAGCATCACTCATTAAATATGAAGTTCCTGCTATGTATTGCTTTAGAATCATTTATAGATTCTAACAGGACATGATTTGTTTTTACACTTTATTTGTGACAGTGGAAAGGTTGTTGTGGTCCTCTTATGGTCACTCAGTTCCATATTTATTAAAATAGCACAAATTAGCTTTGCTGGATTTGCAGTTGAAAGTTTATATTATAGTGGGCCTTGGTGTTTCACCGTCTGACTGAAACAAGCTATTTTAAATCTATCTGTCTACTGATTGGCTCCTACTAGCAGACAGGAGTTTTTCCTGTCTGACATGAGCATTTTAGAGCTTTTGGGCCATAAAGATGATCTGCATATATGTCGAAAAGAAGATTTGAAATTTGGGCTATGTTTAATATAAGTATCCATATTGTATCAGTACACACAGTCAAGCAAAAAACAAAGTGCACTCTTACTGCTTCCACAGTAATTAAGAGGGTAAGCAGCAGCCAGGTGCTGCTAATCAAATGTACCCAATTACCTAATCATCTGTAAATAAATAAATAAAACCACCTCGAATAAAAGCTGATGCTTTGTGTGTCTGCTGGTCTGAAGCATTCAGGTGTATTTGAATGAGTGGGTGCCCGAGCAAACACACCCCAAGGTCAGATCGTGCAATACTTAAAAAAAATGGAAAAAACCCAAGAGCTACATTTCAGAGTCAACGGCCTTTGTTAGCATGTAAAAGGTTAAAGTTCATGACAGTTGTTTAGAGGGACTGCCAGGAGAAAGCCTATTCTCTCTAAAAGAGAGGTTTTCAAATGTGCATCTGAACAAACCACAAGACGTCTTGAACAATGTTAACTTTGGACAGACCAGACCAAAGTGCAGGACTGAGCATTGACTCTCCTGAGGTTTGCAACAATCCAGTCAAAGTCCAGACCTCAACCTCACTGAAATGCTGTGGTGGAGCCTTAAGAAAGCTGTGCATACCTCAAGGAACTAAGCAATGTTATTAGGAAGAGCAGGGCAAAAATAAGAAAAAAAATATTAATGGCTCATTATGGAGAATAAATGACTTTGACTGCATCTGTCCAAAAAGAAAGAAAATGTTGGGTGTTGAGTTCTGTTGAATGTGTTTATACCTGCTTGGAGGTGTTGCGCGCAGAGAAAAACGCTTCACAGTTTTTCCAGCGGCACTTGAGCGTCTGAAAGTTGGCACTGGTGTGGTCGTTGATCAGGTGCTGCTGCAGATGCTCAATCAACCCAAAGACCAGTGAACAGCCATGCCACTGGAAACACAAAACGCCAATAACCAAACAAAATGAGAAGCTCAGAAGGAAAAGACGGGACTAGAACACAACTTATCCATAAATTTCTCAGCTCTGCTCCATGACACATGTCTTACCCAGCAGCGGTAGTTTTGCATTAGATTCAGCTTCACTGCCTGCACACTGCCATCATAGCAGCCCGTGTAGATCTGAAACACACAAAATTAGAGTTAGGATTTAGCCTTCTGAGATATAACACAGACAATTTTATGAAAAAAGATGTCTTGTAGAAAGAAAATCGCTCTCAATCATCACTTAGGACCCAGTAGAGTGTGTGACAACATTAAAGCTTAGAAATTCCTCATATCAGCAATGAAACTTTACAATTTGTTTTTCAAAAATATTCTGCATGAGAACCAAATAGATGAGTTATTAAGTCATAACTGGTGTCTAAACAACACTTGAAATAGCGCGTCTCACCATGTTCTTGTGGATAGCCATGCACATCACCATGTCCTTGTGTCCTCCGTAGACCTGCAGTTGGTCATGAGTCTGTGGAGAGAGCAAGCTTTCAGATTTTCGTGTGCAATGGCATGTCAATATTAAATAAAGAAAGAAATTCATGAGCAGTTTATGTTATTAAAAGACAGATGGTGTGACGATGCTAACCTGCAGGTCGTAGACACGGACCAGTTTGTCCAGGCAGGCGGTCACCATCACTTTCCCCAGGATGGCCACTACTGTAACAGCATGACTGTGGCCCTTATAAACCCGCACAAGCTCACCTGTCTGTGACAAAGTAAGAAAATAATCATTTCACATGGCTTCTTTTTCAAATGGCGAATAACTGAAATTAAAGACGCAAAACTGTAACAGCGACTCACATGGATGTTGTGTGCGTAGACACACTGATCACTGGATCCACTGAATACCAGATCATTGACCACCTGGGAAAAAGCAGCAGAAGAGAAGACACGCTCACAAAAGACACAAATTTGCATACAAATATAGATAATCTGTGTATTATATTTTTTAACAGTACAAAACATCAAGGTTTATAACATGCCATCCTGTCATTGTTGTCTTGAATATCATGGAATTTACTCCAGCAGTAATGCAGTTGCTCTGTTGAAGCTCAGATGTAACCTACCTTCATGCAGAGCACAGTTTTGGTGTGTCCCTCCAGAGTGCGCAGCAGCAGTCCGTTCTTGGCGTCTCTCACACTGATGGTGTTGTCGTAGGAGCCCACCAGCAGGATCCTCCTGGCTCCCTCCTGCGATGAGGCCAGACAGCTCACGGCCCGCGGCCCGTGGCACTCAAACACGTCCATCTGCTTGTTTGTCTAAACAAACAATTGCAAAATGAACATCGAGCGAAGCACACTTCACGATGATGATGATTCTTCTTTCTATCATTGCAGAAACAAGTAGCTGCAAAACCTTTTCATTTAAGGGCGCACGTAAAGTCAGTAATATGTGCAAACTACTCGAGGTATGTGATTTAACACTGATGGGGCTGCATTTTCTGTCACATATAGGAGGATGTACAAGCACTGTGGCAGCATTTTTAGCTCAACACATGGGCCGTTTCCACATTATTTCTTCATTGCTTCCAATGCCATTATTTTAAAGACATTCCTGCTTGTGCTTAATTTTTCACCTTAAGGTTAAAGGTCACCACTGTGCCATTCGCCAGACCAGCATACAAAGTTTTCCAGCGGCTGTGGAGGCAGAGGACTCGATCAGACAGAGGGAAGTGCTGCTCGAGTTCCCGTGTCTGTGGACAAGAGCGAAATACAGAGTGTCAATAATCCAATGTTGCTGTCACACTAACATATGGCAGTTTAAGTAAAAGGCCTGTGATTTACCCTGAGGCTGTAGCAGCGTATGATCTGGTCACTGGAACCAGAATAAAGGCGATGATGCAGGCTTGGAGCCGCTGAGACCAACAGGCAGCTCACTTTGGAGCTGTGACCCTCGAACGTACCCACGCATTTATGACTCTACGACAAAATTTAAGAAAAGCAAAGTTGCAACGTTGTTCCATAATAGATATTCAGGCACATCCTGGCAAATAGCAGCAGTTATTTCATTCACAACTCACCACCAAATCAAAGGCTTTGACGGTTCGATCTCCTGAGCACGTGTACAACAGGCCGTTGTGGATGTGCATGGCGTTCACCGCCTCCTGGTGGCCCTCAAACAGCCCATCAGTGGGCATCTCATCTTCACCATGGTCAGATGATGCATCTGGAAAATACAAACATGAAGGAAATTTTTTAAAAATCAAACACACAGTGAGGAAACTGAGATAAATGATCTTACAGCAGGTACATCCACTCATAAGGGGCCTGTCCAGATCATTTTAACATTTCTAATTCAAAAGACGGATCCAATTATGTGGTTCTTTACAGAAAAAAAAAGTTTACAAAGCATCGTATTTGTGTATGTGTGTCTTCTACTAGTTATCTCTGCATACTCATGCATGTCTTCAGATAACACTTCTATGAATACTTTGCCCATAAAAAGTAAATTGGGCACACTGGAATCTATTTTTATTTGGTGAGTGTGATATTCATAACATAGAAATATTACTACTTACTACTATTACTACCACTGTTTGTACGTTTATGTGTATTTAAGGCTATCTCACTCCTAACATAACTATTTCTGTCACTTATAATGTGAACAATACAAGCCCCATGTTATGACAGCTGGTTTTTCACTCTATCTTCCAACTAAAAAAAAACATTTTTAGTACAAACTGTGTTTGGTTAAGTATGACCCGACTTTAATTATAGCGACTGCTCTCCAGAGATGAACGTACCTGATGAGTTCTTGGGCAAAGTGATGGCAAATGGCATGTCACTGTTGAGAAAAAAGTTAGAGTTTAATCTAAAAGTTTGTTCTTATGAAATCTGACCTTTCTGAAATCCAGTTGTGCATCGTATAATTTAGGAAAAAAAGTGTATTTTGCAATTAGCTTTTTTTTAAATCCCACTTTCTTAAGTCTTTAAGTCTGTAGAAACAAGTATTTTTGCTCATATGAGTTCACACTGAGCTGAAATTGTAATCGCGACTCACCTCTCAGATGATTTACACAAATCCATGTCACTGGTGGAGGAGACCTCGTTGCAGGCCAGGCTCCGTGGCTCAGGACTGGAAGAGTCTGCGACTGGGGCTGGAGGGGGGATTTGAACTTGAACATTCACTTGGGGCTGCTGTCCGGCAACAGTGACCTCCATGCTTCCCTCTGAATCCAGGTTCACCATAATATCAGCGGTGGCCTCATGAGGAAGCTCTGCTGGGGACTTCTGCTCTGCCTTCTCTAATTTGGCACTTGGAAACAGCATCTTGAGTGGCTTCTTATCACCCTCTATGTTCATGTCACCCTCTCTGTCTTCTGTAGGGAGACTGGACGTACTGACCTGAGAGCCTCCGCTGGGTCTCCTACGCGTTCGGGGGCATCTCGGCCGTGAGGCCTCTTCATCCATCTCAGTGTCACTGCTTTCAAACTGCTCTGTCCCCTGAGCCTTCTTCAATGCCTTCCTCTTCTTCAGCTTCCTCACGCGCTTTCCAGTCCTCAGCTCTGATGGAGAGGCAGGGATATTAAGGATTGAGGGGGCTAAAGGGGATTTAAAGGATGGGATGTCTGCAGAGTCATTAACCTCACAGTCTCTCATGGGTAATAGAGGCTTAAGGGGGCTTTTTGTGTCAGCTAAAGAGGTGAGACTGTTCCTTGCTGTCTGTATGGCTTTTTCCGTTGTCTCAATAAGTGTTAGCGACTTCTCCTTGGAGTCTGCAGGCTCTCTAAAGTTCGACGGGTACAGCTCAGGGTGTCTTTCAGGAGAAGCCTGGAAGTTGACGGCGAAATCTGCAACAAGCAGCACAAATAACCCAAAATTGTCAGTTACTTTATTTAGTAAAATCTCCTACGTAACAATATCCTTTTATATTATTTTAAGTAATACAAATAACACATGATGGACTCTTCCAAACAGTATGTGTAAAAACGTGTACAGATTAGATTCACATGCAGTATTTCTCATGATAAACACACTGTGTCCAGAATGCTTATAAAATATTTGCAAAGCTGATTTTTGTATTGTTTTTAGTTTAGTGACATAAAAATTTTAATGCTTTTTACTTTTTGTTGGTCTTTTAGACATCTAGGTGAGCTCATTGATCAGTGAGAGAGATCACTGATCACAGTGATCAATGAGATGTCAGATCTGGGATGCTGTTTTATGGTCTGGGAAAAGCAATGTTACCTGGTGAGGAGGCTCTGGCAGGAGTGACCGGCAGCTCCGGGGTGGTGCTGTGAGCACAGTTGGTCAAAGCGTCCGCAAGGTCTGCCTCTGTGCTGATGTGAACAGGGGACAGGGGCTCCTGCTTGATAGCTACAGACATCAAGGGAAGGCTGGAGGAGGGGGGAGAGCCACACTCTGCAGCACGATTGGGACTGTGGACAGCAGTTTCCACAAGAGAGGAAAGTGTGACAGAGGAGGGCACGTGTGCCTCAGTTTCAAATGTATCCATCTTTTCTTCTTTCAGTTTGATCTGAGGTGCTTCCTCCATCGTACCTGTATAAAAAAATCCATGATTAAAAAGCTTATTCCACCAATCATAGCTTCTTCTGTAAACTATATTTGTTCCATTACTGTTACAAATATAATAAACTTATTTTTAAGTATTGTAGAATACGAACTGGCTTTTAATTGAATCTAGTGTGTAGTAATTTGTAGTAATAGACATTTGGTACAAGTGTATTTTGCACATGTTTTTACCTTGCATCCCTTTTAGTAACTCAATGCGCTTGTTTCTTAATGTGCTCATCTCTACAGTCATCTGTGAAAGACAAAGCCATACAAAACAATGGTTAGGCAGGGAATATGTTATCTTCAAAGACAAACTGCATAGAAAGTATAAATCCTAACGTTAATCCCTAACTTTTAGAAGTAAATTAAATTCACATGGACACCAAGAGCATCGTTTAAATAGTGAGACTTGTGGTTATATATTAATGTGAAGTAGCTGGCAAGACAACAAAATGCTTGCCAACACATAAACTCCCTGTGAGTCCTTAGGTGTAGGCCCTTTTTGTTATAATGTGTTGGCATTAGACACTAAACATGTAAAAGCATGTAACTGTGCGGAGAGAGAGAGTTTTTGAATAATAGAGTTCAGCTGTGTGCAGACCTGCTGTTTAACCACCATGAGACGCTGCACTTCCATGTAGGCGGCCTCCAGCGCAGCCCGGGCCTGGATCAGGCTGGTGTCCACGGTCTGCAGGGAGCGACTGAGCTCGTCCTCCCGCAGAGACACTGCCAACAGCTGGTCAATGTGCGAACGTTCTGCAGCAAGCCAAAAACACAGATGTGAAACACAAGCAGCTAAACCATGACAGGAAAATGAATTATAACCCCAGAGATTCTTGTTTTTTTTAGCCTACTAACCTCTTTTCGATTTGACCTTCTGTCTTTTGCTATTATGTTCTATGCATGAAGACTCTGCACTCAGAGCGTCCTACAGAGAAGAAAGAAAGCAGTCACGATGACATATTCTGCTTGTTCTTTCAAAAAAAAAAATACACAAATAAAAAGGAGAACACTGTTTCCTAAGCTCACCCCGGCTGCTCTCCGCCTCTTTGCTGTTCCCAGACCGTCGCACTGCTCCGTCCCTGAACTGCTGTCCCCGAGCACTGAGTCAGACCGCTGGAGGGCTGATGTTAGGTTGTCTGTCTGGTTCTGAGCTTTGGCTTCGAGATGAACGAGCATCTGTCCAACCTCTGACTGAGACTGACAGTCTTGATTTCCTAGAGAAGACTTGCGATTTGGATTAACTGTAGATCCCTGCTGCTCTGAGTTGAAGCTTTCTCTCTGTGAGGTTTCCTTTGATATATGGGATGTAAAGAGGTTGTGCGTGGACGCAGGAGCGAGGCTACTCTCTGATAAGGAGCGTTTTCGTGAGGGGCCCTGGTAAGACACATCCATCAACGACTCCCACTGGAAACCCTCCAGCAGCGGTATGTCACCCTCCTCTTGGCTCTGGTACTCCTGCTCATATGAAACCATCTCAATGCCAAACCTGAAAGACAGAACATAAACTTGTATTAACTGAAATCAAATCAAAATCAAAATGTATTTAAAAATGTAAAGATGAGATTATAATTTCACCTTGGCATGCCTTTTCCCTTGTCTTGTTTCTTCCTGACCTCGTGATACACCTGTTCCCAGTTAACATTGCGCCGAGACCCAGAGGAGCTGATCAGCTGCCGCACAGTTGGCTTGAGCCCTGAATCCTTTTCGGTGTCGCTTCTCCGCGACTCATTCACGTTACGCACCCGCCTGGCAATGTTCAGGTTGGGCTCGTGGCCGACTGTTTTGCTCTTGGAGCTGATATGTTTGGTGAGGTCACGTTTTAAAACTGGAGGCAGGTCAAGTTTGGACAGACTTGATGCATGAGTCTGTGCGTCACCACTTCTGGAGGTGTCACTCTCTGAGCTCTGCCCTGCCTCACTGACCTGCATGGCCTCATCTGGAACAACTGAGCAACTTTGCTTTTCCACTTTCTTATTGTTCTCCTCGTATTCCCTGCCTGATTCTGCCAGCTTGGAGGTCTCCACAGTAGAGGTGCTAACTTGCAGTGACTGGAGAAACTGACTGCTGTCTGAAGATGTCAAAGCAAGCTTTTCTGACCCAACTGGATCAGGTAACACTGATTTTACTGCATTCTGCCTGCAGCTGATCTCTTTGTTCACTCCAGTCTGACTCTGTACCTGATTCGTTTGCGGCTCCTCGACACTGTGCTGTGTCATTTCCACTTTTACGTTATTACCAAAGGTATTTAAAGAGCCCTTCTTTTCTAACACATTTTGTTTGGCATGCTTAACCGATTCTGGGAGCTTCTGTTGCCGTGATTGAAAGGACCCAGTCAGTGGAGCCTTGACTTCACTCTGGATTCCAGTTGGTTTTGATTGCACTTGAGCCTGACTGGGGATCTTGCTGAGATGAGACACACTGCTGATGCCAGGAGCTGAGGACATTTTCCGATCTAGCAATGACTTATTTGCATTCTGATTGCACCAATTAGACGCTGAATTCTGGTGGCCATCTCTCTGTGAACTGCTGCTTCTACTGCTACTACTGCTCCCATCTCTAGGTTTGACTGCAGGGTTTGTTTTGTGCTTCCCTTTTTCTTCTAGTCTACTTAAGGGCAAAAGACTTGATTCCTTTTCAGATCGTGACTGGCTATTAAAACCAGTGGCTTCCGGTGCTTTGTTTTGAGGTTTGGGGGCTCTTGGGTATTCCTCAGATGATTTTGGACCGGTATCTTTATGTGGCACAGACTCTAAACCCTTCACAGGATAGGGTGACCAGCGACAGGATTTGTCAATCTTCGGATTGCTGCCCAAACTCTTAGAGCTTTTACTGCTATTAATATCAGATTCTGCTGGTTGGCCATCCCCCTTCTGTAGCCCAGCACTGGCCTGACCTGGCTGGTCATTACCTGTATTCTGAAACCGATTCACAGCCTGGGCCAAAGAGACAGGGGGAGGTGGATACATACGAGGAGCCTCAAAAAAGCTCATGTGACGGTTCTTTTGAGGGTACTGGGAAATATTGTTTTGCCCATAGAGCCCATTTCTACTGCCTCCGTTGCTGAGCCACGGAAATCGATTTTCATTTCTGCCAGGAAATGCACAATGACCCCACGTCTTGTTGCTTCGAGCTTCCTGACTATCCAAGCTTCTACCAGCAAACTCTCCAGATGCCCACCTCTCTAAGTTGGGGGGCTCCTGAGCATGCCAGGTGGCGCTCTTCCCCTGTTTCCTCTGGTTCCAGGGTTGTATCTCCCCTGCTCTGGAGTCATACTGGTTGCTTTTGTACCAAGTCCTGTGGTGACTAGACCCACCGAATCCCTGTCCCGGCTGCTGCCAGCCACGCTGCAAGGAGTAACGCTCTTTAGCTTCCTTTAACCTCTGCTGAAACGCCTCCTTTCTCCTTTTATCCTCTTCCTCTTTTGCTAGCTTTGCAGCAGCAGCCTCCTTCTCTTTTCTGGAAATAATAGTAATATAAATGAAATACAAGCAAATATTTACAGCTGCCCCTACATCCAACTTGCAACATTCAAAACAAAAAGTAATAATATTGACTTAGGAACTTAGAAATACGTGAGGAGAATTGGTGCTCTGTGTGGGTGATACAATACACACTGTCAAGCTTAAAGAAGAAGAGTGAATTTGGATGGAAAATTACGATTGTTTTAACTTTTTTTTTATTAGACTTCACATCAAAAGCAAATAATCCCACCTACAGGTTTGCCATAATAATTTCAAAAGTTTCTTTGACACTGAAAGTCATTATTAGGGCAATTCATTTGCTTTAAATTAAAAATGCATTAATAAAATTATGATTTCAGAGAGTCTTCCTGATAATTACATGCACCAACCAGCATAGGGAAAATGTCTGGTATGTGACAAATTGACAGCGTTTTCCTTCACATATCTTCATATGGATCAGCAATCACACATTATTATAAGGTATTTTGGGGGATTATACCAAATACGCATAGAAAAGACTAATTTGAAGAAATAGTCTAATAGTGCAATTAGTGTGACATTTTAGTTTGGGCTTAAAAAAACATGAATTTTAGAAATTAAAGTAGAAAAAAAGGGCTGAAGTGAAGGTTTTTGTGTTTTACTCTTTAATAAAAGCATCAAACTGCTTGTGTCTGAACCCTGTATGTGCAGTCATGCTTTTTTTATAGCCTTCAGTCCTGACATACGACTCCAGCTGCAGCATAATGTGAAGCTGTGGCTAAAAGAGGCCTCTGAGCACCACTGAGCAAAATGTGACTATACATGGTGTATATACACACACACATACACAAGCTTGTAAGGTATCACTACTATTTAAATCATAAAAGCTTCATAAAAGTCATATGTGACTGTCCCGGAGACTTTTGATTTAAAATCCTAGACAACATTTTGTGTTTAAACCAAACGAGTAGCTATTTTTCTTTTACCTGATCTTCTCTTTTCTCTTTTCAATCAAGTCCACCAATTCCTGATCGAAGTAGTCTTCTTCATGGTCGAGCCCAGGAGGCTTCTGGTCAGCAGCCTCCACATTCTGCTTGTGCACGGGGCTGGAAATGTGGCTGGCATAATCAGTCAGACTCACCACCTTCACCTTACAGACTCTGCACTCATGTCCGCAGTCCCTGGGGAGGGAAGGAGAGCGCGGACGTTCAATAGTTCCTTCGGGCATTGCGCTAAACTTGTCTGGTTCGGTTTTCCTGCCTGCAGAGCTCGCAAATATATATTCTGGCTCTACTTTCTGTTACTTTAAAGTCTTCGTAAAATCAGGAAAGGAGAATACTCTACAATCCTTAAAAATATTACTTGTCCAAATTCTCTATCCGTTACAGATCAGGAGGTCACTAACTTAGAATTTTATCTCATAAAAAAGAATCGTTATCATCCTGATCGTGTTCTCCTTTCTTCAGCAGGCCATGGGTGGCAGGGTGAGGGCAGGAAGAGGAGCAGCAAGGCTGGACTCAGGCAGCATGCTAATCTAGCTGTCCCGCTTATGTCCAGCCAAGCAGTGCAGCACTGGGACGCGTGGAGGGGAGAGTAGCCCGGCGTCTGCAGCCTAGTGCGCCCTCATGATGGTGTCCGCTGCGCTCTGAGACTCTACAGAAGGCAATGTCTGTATATGACCTCACTCCGTGTTCCACGAGCCAGGACCCAGCCCCCTCTCAGGCCAGCATGTGTTATTAGCACAGGCCTGTGGATTGTACCGACCAATCCAATGCAAAGCCTGTGTAACTGGAGCTGTGTGCAGCTGCTTCTAGCCTCCACTTCAAAACCTCTCCCAAGTATGCCATCCTGTGATTCTGATAGGGGCAGTGACTTTGCTGGCTCCTTCTCAACTTCATTTTCAAATCTGTGTCATGGCATGCTGCCCTTTTGTGACCTCTCGTGCAGCTGGCACACAACTAATCTATATTTTTTCAAGTATTATTCGTCAGCTGCAGTTGTGCAGAAACAGTGCTGAAAATGCAATCTGCGGGTTAGCTTAACCTCACAAAAAAACCTGTAACGAGCTGTAGCTAAATTTAAGTTTATTGTTGCCATCATATTCCTACACAGGTGCTTTTCAAATAAATCTAATATTAATACTAATATTCAGCTTCAGGTGATGAACACAATAAGATTTCATCTTTGCACATCAACAGCATGAAATTCCAGTAAGTGAAACAGAGTTAGCTCCTCTAGAGATTCTTCCATCTCAGCGACAGAGCCACATGCTTTTAGTAATCTACATGCGAGTCACAAGATAGCCAGTTGCCTTCTAACGGTCATGCCTGTTGTTCCGGAGAGATTGTGTCTAAATATATGTGGTACAGTTGAGACAGCTGCCCCTATATCCACTTGCTCGATTACTGTGTACACGTGCCCGTGTGCACACGTGCCTCATGACCTAAATAATCTGGGCAAAAGTCTTGTGAAGCCAGTATTTTTGTGAAGCCAGCATTAAACAGGACGCAATAACCTGAACCTTTTCAGTATTGCATGAAAGTCACGAGTCATGTAATGAAATCAAACACCTTTTTGTGTTACGTACGTTTCAATTTATCTTTAAATGGTAAA